ACCAGACTTTGTTGACTTGTTAAACTGAACAGTGAAAACCAGACACTGAAAATGACAATTAAATTAGAAATGGACTAAATGCTGTAAAGGCTGGAGTCCTGAGTGCGTTCTTATAGACACAATGACTACGGATAGAAAAATGAACAGGAAACACAACAAGACCAGACGCCACAGACCACAATAAACAGATAAACTAGGGAACACAGATATATATATATGTGTGTGTGTGTGTGTGCAAACATTGTTTTGTAAACAGCAGTAAAAGGCCAACATGACATGCCATGCAATGTTCCTTTTTATTTCACTCTGCACTGCAGGTCCACGGAGTCGACGCGGCCAACTCTACGGCATGTTGGCGCTCCCATGCAAAACATGTGCAAAACCACTTGACCACCGCACGTACTTAACAGAAGGGGATTGTAGTAAAAAAGTAAGTCTCTCAAAGGAGTTGCTCGGCTGTTAACGTTGTGCTAAAATGCACTAGAGTCAGTCATCCTACAGTCGTCCTACAGAACAGCCGGCTCATTTACCAGGGATCAGGCATGACACTGTACAAACCTGGCACTGCTAATGTCTCCGCAGGGGGCAAAGGGTGCACTAAAAAATCAGAAGAAGATGTTAAAAAAAAAAACAAAAACGCTGCCCTCCCTTCTGTCTGAACTCAGTCGGCTGCTGACACACAGCAGCAGACGCTGTTGTCCTAGCGAGCCCCCGCTGCGGTGGGGGTCAGGGAAGGTCCCTGTGCGATCCTGAGGTCTTACCTTGTCCGAGCTGTTTGAACTGGAAGCCCTGGACTGATGTGACGTAGGACGCAATGGCTCCCTCCTTCACCACGTTGTAGAGCACGCTGCGGATCTGCTCCTCGTTGCTGTTGTTGTCCGAACCCACGTCCAGTTCTACAAATATGTCCACACCGTCGTCTCTTATCACCTTCCTGCAAAAGAAAAACATAATTGAGCCTAGAAACTACATTGGAAAGGAAAGTCAACTCCTGGACCTCTGGCTTTTAACCCATCACCAAAGTGAACAGTGGGCAGCTCAGGGAGCAGTGTGTGGGGACGACACCACCTCAGTGGTAAATTGGCAGCTGGTGGACTCGAACCTGAAGCCTTCCGGACCCAGGTCCTCCTCCTTAACCGCTAAGCCGCCACTACATTGCATGCACTGCAGAGGTTGAAAGAGATACGTTCTTAGAAAGAAGGTTTCCTCTCCTGCCTCTCGGTGGTGATATATCAGTGGACGTCCAGGCCCTCAGAGTCGGCCTTGTCCAGTTTGAAAAAGGACAGGAGTGTTGTCATCAGGCCAGAGTAAGGAGCAGCTGCTGCTGCAGTGTATCTTACTTTAGTGTGACACTGTGTGTGTGTGACTGGAAGGAATTCTGCTCTTACTTAATAAGGACCACGTTGACCGTCTGGGAACCTGGAATCCTGTGGTAGTCTGACTCCAGCTGTAGAGAGAGAGGGGGAGAGAGAGAGGAGGACCAGAAACGTAAAGCCTGAGCTTCATGTTCAGACGCTTCAACCAGAGGGTCAACATAAATTACATCTCTGAGTCCTGTGAAGCAGCGTGAGGTGCAGTGCAAGACCACAGTTTGGTTGAGATTAGCCTGCAGGGGAAAAAAAAACGTACCGTGTCCACCACTGCTTCAGAGATCTCATTAAAGGCTGCAGAGAAGATGTCCTCCAGTTCAGGGCTGTAGACCAGGGAGTTGGTGAAGTTGACGAGAGCTCTGTAATAAACTGGAAACACAGAGAAGGAGGGAGGAAAAACGCTGACCGCTGTTCTGTCTGAACTCAGTCGGCTGCTGACACACAGCAGCAGACGCTGTTGTCCTAGCGAGCCCCCGCTGCGGGGGGGGTCAGGGGAGGT